AAGGACACAGGTCAAGGCTAAGAAGTTGCCCAGTAAGCAGGGTCCTAACCTCACTTAGTGTGTGGCTTAGCCTCAGTTTCCCCACTCTGTAGCCATGACATTGTTTCTCTCTCTCTCCACACCTCAGGACACTGGTACTGCAACGACCTCACTTTACCTTCGAAGGGACCTGTACCTCGGGTGGCTGACTCTACCCTCTTACGAGGTCACCTGTGGCCTTACCCTGCACGTGTGTGGCTTGGCCTCACAAGCTGCCCGCACAGGAAGGGTGTGGTGAGGGCCTGGATAAGCAAACCACCACTCTGGGCCAGTGGTAAATAAGGCCAAGCTGGACCAAGCCTGTCCTTGCTGCCCTGAATCCAGCGACTTCCAGCGCTCTGTGCTTCCTGGGCGGTCCCTGAGCCCAGCTCCTGGCCAAACTGGGGGTGCCCAGGCCTGAGCACCCAATTTGAGCACACATCAGGACCTCTCCATGGAGCAGGGTGCTCTGGTGCTCTGAAATTAAAGGTGCTGCTGCTCCTGACTCACACCTACACATCGGCAGTGCAGCTCCCCTCACATGCTCACCTACCCACCGTGACCAGTTGGCAGAGTATGTCTGTTCCCCAAGTGTCTCTGGCCTCAAGGACAGCCTGGCCCTGAAGCCTACAGGACAGTGGTGCAAGAGCTAAGGAGAGTGCTCTTGGGGTACTAGTGCTGGGCTGCTCTGTGCTGCAAGAGTGGGAGGCAGGCAAGTGTCCTCAGACAGAGCCCATGGTGGTCCATTGCCCTGCTGGGGCAGAGCTGAGGCTGATGGCCAGGGAAGTGGGATAAGGGTGCAGGGCTGGATCTGATCAAACCCCAGAGGGCAGCATTCATTACAGGAGGGGAAGCCCTGTACGTCAGAGCTGCAGCCAGAGGAGAGCCGAGGTCTGGGCGGTCAAAATACCCATGTGTGCCCTACACCAGGCAGGCTGAACGCCCTCACTAGGCCTGGGACTTGCAGGCCTGTACCCTACTCTTGAGGGTGGGTCTCTGAAGACCACTTTCCAGGGACAGGCACTTGGAGAGTCTGTGGTTTGGGGTTGGTTTTGAGGACCGTATCTGCAGGTGCTTGCGGATATCACTGGTGTCTGGGATTGAGCACAAGACTCCTTGCAAAAACCTGTGCACCAGCCCCAGGAGCTTTCAGCCATGAACTGCAGGTTTATATGTGTGGGGAGGAGGGGGACTTGGGGCCACATCCAGCGGTGCTCATGCACTCAGGGATCACTCCTGGCAGGACTCAGGGACTATATGGGGTTCCAGGGACGGAACCCAGAATGACCATGTGCAAAGCAAATGCCATTTCCTCTGTACTAGCTCTTCAGCCACTATATCCTGTAGTTTCTCCCAGACCCCCATCTGCCCCCACTCTACATGGTTCCTTGAGCTGAGATGCAGATTGGGGAAAGTGCTGCACTGGATTTGCCCTGATAGGTTCTGTGCAACTGTCACCATGAGAAAGCAGAGAAAACTGCACCTGTTGATTCAGGCATGCTGCACTCAGGAAGGGAGGCAGGAGACCTGGGCATGTTCTCTGCCAACCAGCTTCTCCAGTCGAGCGTGGGGGACCCTCATTTGCTCAGCCACTCTCTCACTTCACTGTGATCACAGAGAGTAAGCCATCCCCCCCAACACCCCAAACCAAGTCTCAAGCCTGTGCCCTGTACCAGTGTCGGGGACATCTGGATGGGAGCAGTCTTCACACCCAAAATGCATGCGTGCACACATGGGTGTTTGTACTAGGAATGTGTGACTGCATATGTGTGGCTGCACAAATCTGTATCCTCTGTGATTGTGTGCATGTGTCAGTTTCCATGAGTGCTCATCCTGCAATCTATGAGCATGTATGTGCATATATGAGCACATGTAAGCACCAAGGTTTAAGTGCATATGTATGCATTAGTGAGCATGTGTGAACACGTGTTCACAGTCATGCAGTACAGCAGATAGAGCTTGGGCTGGAGTGATAGCAAGGACAGGCTTGGTCCAGCTTGGCCTTGTACTGAAGAGATAGTATAGAGGAATAGTACAGAGGAACAAAGGATAGTACAGAGTATAGGTCTGTGTTTGAGCATGTGTGCACAGTTACTTGTGTGTAGGAGGTACATGTACGTGTGCAGGAGTACTTATGAGTGTAGGAGATTCATGTATAAGTGTGTGAGAATGTGTGTACAAGTGCTTGTGTGCATTCAGGAAGTGCATGTCAATGTGTGAGCATGTGTGCATGGGTGCTTGTATGTGTTAAGTGTATTAATGTGTGATCTTGTGTACATAGCTGCTTGTGTGTCTGCATGGGTGCTTGTGTGCATGTAAGAGTATCAGTGAGTGGGGGTTGGAGCGACAGTACAGCAGATAGAGCGTTTGCTTTGCACACGGCCAACCTGGGTTTGATCCCCAGCATCCCATATGGTCCCCCAAGCACTGCCAGGAGTAATTCCTGAGTGTAGAGCCAGGAGTAACCCCTGAGTATCGCTGAGTGGGACCCAAAAAGAAAAAAAAAAGAGTATCAGTGTGTGTGCATAGGTTCTTGTGTGCGTGTATGTGTGTGTATAAGAGTGAGTGCACAGGTGCTTGTGTGTAGGAGGCCGATGTTAAAGTGTCTGAGCTTGGGTTGGAATGATAGCACAGCGGGTAGGGCATTTGCCTTGCATGCTGCCGACCCGGATTCGATTCCTTGCATCCCATATGGTCCCCTGAGCACGGCCAGAGGTAATTCCTGAGTGCAGAGCCAGGAGTAACCCCTGTGCATTGCCGGGTGTGACCCAAAAAGCAAAAATAAATAAATAAATAAATAAATAAAGTGTTGAGCTTTTTGAAACAGGTGTTTGTGTGAGCATGTGCATGAATGCTTGCGTGTGTAGGTACACGTGTAAGTATATGTGTGTACATGTTTGTGTGTGTAGGAGGTGAGTGTATTAAGTGCGCACTTGTGGGTATTGGTGTTTGTATGCATGTAGGAGTACGTGTGTGAACATGTGCTTTTGTGCATGTAAGAGGTGAGTGTGAGCATGTGTGTAGGAGATGCAGTGAGCATGTGTGCATGAGTGTGCTTGGTGTGTGTGAGACAGCCTATGTGCAATGGGGATGGAGATGTAGCTTCTCCCTGGAAGGGTGTAAGTCTCACAGCTGGAATGGGGAAAAGGGCTGAGGGCATAGTGATATGTGGCTGAGGAGACACTAGGCAAATGGCTGGTACACATTTTGAGTAGATGCCAGGGGAGTGGCTGGTACATGCTGAGCAGATCCTGGGGGAGTGGCTGGGACACGCTGAGTGGACACCGGGAGAGTGGCTGCAGCATGTTCTGAGTGGATGCCAGGAGAGTGCCTGGGGCATTTTCTGAGTGTGACATGTGACTTCACAATGCAGAGCTTGCAGGTGCTGCCCCAAAGGGTTCAGGACTGGTTAGGAACACTGACATGCCTGGATGTGCAGGACACACCTTGCCTATAGGGCCAACAGAGAGCCTCAAGCCACTGTCAAATGGGCAAAGGGTGGCTGCAGGCTGGGGTATAAGAGGCCTCCATGTTGGGGTGCCTAGGCCCTCACCCACTCCACGTGTCCTGTCCTCGCTCTGCAGTTCAAGGAGTGCGCTATGAAACCAGAACAAAGTCTCAGCCTTGCTGTCTAAGAATCTGAGGAATTTCCTCCTGGTCTGAAAAGAAAACTCGCTGAAGTCCCCTTCCTCATGGCTCAGGTCTGAAAGGACCTTTGTCCTGGCTGAAGGAACAGCTTCCTGAGTGTTGGTGTGTGTGTGTGTGTGTGTGTGTGTGTGTGTGTGTGTGTGTGTGTGTGTGTGTCTATGTGCATTCATGTGCATATGGTTTTACTTCTGGCTGTCATGGCCAAGGAGCCCCAGTGGAATTGGTCAAAAAGGGCCTAAGCGGACTCCACAAGGAATAAGCAGTGGGAACAATGAGTGTCAGATCTGTGGACATGGTGGGGGTGGAGGTCTTATGGAGCGTCAGTCACTTCCTCTGCACCTGCCCTTCTTTCTCTTAAGTTCCTTCATCTTCCCTACAGACCTGGGAGCTTTCCATAATAATCTTCCAATTAAATCCATGCAGGGAGGCAATGCTGGCACCTCTGGAGCATGAAGGTCACTCTGGTCAGCCTTTGGCTTAGGAGAAACACATGGGCAGGGACCCAGAACATTTACATAGGGCTTAAACCTCAGCTCACAAACAGGAAATAGAGGGGAGTCCATGAAGTGTGTGGAAAGTGGAGGAGCAGTGAGCAGAGAGAAGGCCCCTGGAGTGAAGAGCCAGGTCTGTGCTTTAGAACACAAAGAGGAGAGCAGGGGCAAGTGGGAACAGGTCTCAGTAAGGAAGGGGACTACTGGGCGAAGGGAGTGAGTATCCACCTGATCTGTTATCCCAGTGCGCCAGAACAGAAAAGGCCGTGAGCAATGTCCAGTTCCATCCAGGCACCTACTGACAGCTACTAGCCCATGGCAGCTCGGTATGCACAGCACACCAGGCCTGTGAGCTGCCCATATGCAGCCCACGTCCGCAAAAGCAACAGAGGGGTAGCGGGCAGGGGGCAAAGTACTACTATGGGTACATGGCCAAAGGCACAGCCTGGGAAAGTTGTGGTGGGAGCTGGCATCAGCATAGCCCACCTGCTGTGAGATCATTTGTTTCCAAATGGGTCTTCAGGGCCATGGAGCCCACACCTCAACTCAACCATCATGTAAATGGTGTTGGACACAGCTGGGGGCTTACAGCCAGGATCCTGGGATCTGGGTACATCCTGCTGCACAGCCCTGTGCCAGGCTCCCCAGAGGAAAGCCACGGGGCTCAGGTTTGTTGAAGCAAGGGTCACGGTGGTTCCAGCCTACCAGCTCCCACGCTGACACATAGAAGTTAGGCCCTGGGTTGAAGCCCACAGATGGACCACGCTGGCTGGTCACCAGGAAGGGTTTTATTCAGCTGAGCCATGCATCCAAGCCTGCACACCTCCGGCAGGAGCAGGAACGTCACCTCTCCATCACCATGCCCCCGAGGCCAGAGGACCCTGCTGAGGCACCAAGGAGTCAGCCTGAGGCTGCCAGTCTCACCCACCCTCGGGCCACACCTAGGAGCTGCCACTTACCTAGATGCTGCCGCTGTAGCAGCCCAGAGATGCTGATGGGTAGTCGAGGCGCCGGAGCATAGATGCTGGGGGGGCTGGGCGAAGCCAATCTCCCTGCTCTGTTGGATTCCAGCACGGTGGGCGTAGCGGAGGCCTTGCTGGGGAGCAGCAGTGCAGGAGGCCTGGCAGGAAGGCAAACACATCAGGGTGTCTAGCGCAGGCCTGAGAGCAATGCCAGGCCCCGCTCCTAACCCTGGCAGGGCCCCACTGGTTCCTCCCAGGACCCATGCTGCTCGATCAGAGTGACCACTTTCTGATCACTCAGGCCGAGCCAGAGAGCAGCGGGCTGCCAAGGACAGTGAAGTGTGGAGGATGTCCCATGCTGGTGTCAGAGAACTCAGTGTGGGACCCCACTGAGAGCAGCCAGCGCAGATGGCACAGCATGGAGTTGAACCGCACAGCTTTGCTCCCCCACGTTGGGCTGGGGAGTGCCATCTGGGGCAGGTAATAAGTCCAGGGAGCCACGAGGCCCCCAGCAGGCACCAGGACATGGGGGACTGCAAACAGTCTTGGTAACACAGTCCTGCCATCTCCTTCAAAGAGCCTGTCATAAAGTGACCAATAAAACCAATCTATGAAGAATGTCCCTGTTAAGGACAGCACCACACTGTGCAGTGGCCAGGGCAGCAGAACCTACCTGAGAGGCTGGGGCACAGGTGAGCAGGTGGGCATCAGCCTGGGCCTCAGAGTAGGCCGGTGGGAGACAATGCCTGTAGGAAGAGACATGAGTGCATGGAGCAGTAGGACACACCGGGGTTGGGGCTGACTCTGAGTGGCAGGTGTGGAGGTCACACCTGGGATGGCTCTGAGCGGCAGGCGGGGAGGACACACCTGGGCTGGGGCTGGCTCTGAGCAACAGGTGGGGGAGGACACACCTGGGCTTGGGCTGACTCTGAGCGACAGGTGGGGAGGTCACACCTGGGCTGGTAGGTGGAGCGGCAGGTGGAGAAGACAGTTGGGTCTACACAGGGCCCTAACTTGCTCCCCTTTAAGAAGCAGGTAAGGAGATCAAGCACAACTGGGAGAGCAGCAGCCCCATGCAGAGGACAATGCTGCTTCCCAATGTGAGAATTGGCCAGGTTGCAAAGCAGGGTTTGAGCACTCTGTTGAGTCCAGCCCCTCTGTCCCAGCCTCAGCCCCCTAAATACCTGGGCGCACTGAGTAGAACCAGACTGACCCTGCTTCCTGGAAGAAGGTCAATATCCAGGGTCTTACTATGCCCAGTGGGATGCCAGGAAGGCAGTCTCTGATCTGACTGATTTATAGATGGTTTTGTCCTCAGGTAGCCAGCATGGAGAGAAAAGGGCAGCACTGAAGCTGGCTGGGTGCCTCATGGGCTCTGATACTCCCACTAGAGTTCGAGTAGACAGAAGAGCAGCCATCTGAGGTGCCAGGACACATGGTGGCCCAGGGGTCAGAAACTTCAAAGCAGAGGACAGTGGTCACATAGGGCTGGTTTTCTGGCCCACACACCTGGTCAACTCCTACAGCCCCTACCTCCAGGTGCAGGAACACTGTGTGTGACTTTAGTAGAGGGGCTGGTGCAGAACCAAGAAAACACCAAAGTCCTGAATCTAAGGCAAAGTAGTCGAAGGCATGAGATTAGTCAAACCTACACTACAGGACCGAGGCAAATATGACCCCAGAGCATACTCACTGCCAATGCACTGAACCCAGCAGGTTAGGTCCCTGTTACAGGAACAGCTCAAACGCATAATGAAACCATGCCCTCTCCACAGGAGGCCTTCCGGGTTCAAAGATACCAAGAGGACAGTGTAACTAGGAGCAGCCTGATCATTACTGGAAGAGAAGTCATTATCAACAATTCCATAGTTAGGTACAATTCAAGGCCTCTAGTCTGGAGTCAACTACAAGCTCTACTACATGAAGATACAAATATCGAATCCATGACCAAGAGATTCCAAACAGAAAGACAATTCTCCCAGACAGACTCATGAGTAGATGATTTTGTCAAAATCCTGGCAGGAATTTGGGGCAGAATTTGACAAACTGCACGTTAAGTGTATGGGGTTTTTTGGTTGTTGTTTTTGGCCACACCCAGTGATATTCAGGGGTTACTCCTGGCTCTGCACCCAGAAATCACTCTTGATGAGCTTGGTGGATCATATGGGAAGCAGGGGATTGAATCCAGGTTGGTTGCAAGTAACGAAAGTGCCCTTACCTGCTGTACTATCTCTCCAGCCCCTGCATGTTAAATTTTAAATAGAAATGTACACAATCTAAACTAGGCTGGACTTACCATGGTAACTGAAGAACATGATTAGAGCCTCATTTCAAACCTACTGGGAAGAAGGCAGGCACAGAGGAGCAAGGAGCCTGCAGCTCCCCTCAAACCTAGACTCTGGACAGGCACATCTTTGCACACCTGTCTCCATCATTGATACTTTGTCAGTGTTCTTTGGGGCCACAGCATCTCCCATGTGTATGGGATTCACAGGATTCCCCAAATACACAGGATCTGTAGGATTTCCCTCCCTCCCATGTATGGGACCTCTAGGGTATATGGAATCTATAGGATTCTCTTTCTCTCACACACACATAGGATCCACAGGGTTCCTGCCAAACACATTTGGGATCTGTAAGATCCCCCACATAGTACAGGATCTACAGGATGTCCCCTACACATCTGGGATCCATGGGATACTGTTACACATACTGGATCTTTAAAATTCCGCCCACACATGTAGGGGCACACAGTTTCCAAAGGGTTCCCAGACATATCACACATGTATGGAATTCATAAAATTCTCTCACTCATACTTGGGATTCATAGGATTGTCCCACACATAAACGGAATCCATAAGACATGTCTCCCAACACATTCCTCCCTGCATATCTGGAATCCAAAGGATTATTTCCCATGTGCAAAGATCCAGAGGATTTATTCCAATATGTTCGGGCTTCATGTGACACATATATGGGATCTTCAGGATCCATAGACTCTATCTAGAATGTTCATTATAAACCCTTGGCCACTCAAGAATGCAACACCCATCTCACCTGTGCTTCCTTCTGCATGCTGTTTCTAACCTGTGTCTTTTCCTCCTCTCCCTCCTCTGTGCCTACCACAGGTCTCCCCTGCATCTCTAAAGGTGATGATCTCTCAAAAGAACTATCCACCTGCTGCCTCCTGTGGGTGTCCAGGACATACTGCTTCCTCCTGGGGTTCAGTCTCCACCAGGACATCCTCACTACGTGACTGGTGTTAAGCAGCTTCCCAGCATCTCATGCCTTGTCTGAGATGCACTGACTTAGTAAGTGATCCTTTCTCATGGAGCCATCTCCAGAAACTAACAGTCTCATCAGACATTGACATAAGTGTTGTCCTCCAGGTGCTGACTGCATGGTGGAGCAAAATCCTTCCACGTGGGAACTCCCTGAAATAAACTGAAGCTTCTCCCAGGGACCAATGGTGGGGCCCAGTTGCATCTGGTGCATGGATCCCAGTCCTGTGGACCCACAGCAGGGGTCCGGCCATCTTCACATGGCCTCATCTGTGTCTTTCAGCAGGCCTCCCACACCTGAGCAGTCTCAGTGCAAATGTGCTTTGCTGCAAGTTATCCTGGTGTCTCATTCCCCCTCATCTCCCTTGACTACCTTTTGTGGTGAACACATGATTTTCAATGTTACATTGTCTGGAACGTTGTGTTTTGGAATTGCATTTGAAGCAGTTAGACGTTGTGTTTTGGAATTGCATTTGAAGCAGTTAGACCAGTAAGCGTACACCCCTACACCACTCTGGCTCAGAAGAATGAAACCCAAAGTTGGGGGCATGCTTGGTGTTCCCTAAGGGCAGCCTTCCAGGGCCAGCCTCCTGCCTGTGCTCATTAAGCCTTATCTGTGGGTTCTGAGCTAATACGCTGAGGAGTGCTTTCGTATGAGGACAGCTGGAGGAGCACAGAACACAAACTACTGAAGAGAAGAGGAATGTGATTGGAGAAGACGGTCAGCTGGACAAAAGTGAAGGCTGATGGGAGCAGATGTGTGGTGGTGGCTGGTCAGACCTTGAGCCTGATCCCAGTGGGGAGCAGCAGAAAAGTCAGTGGCTTGGCATGATACCACCGGGAACTCAAGGCCCCTGTTATGCAAAGAGGTCGAGGGCAGAAAAGGAGCAAGTATGTAGGAGACCCTCAGCTGGAATAGAATGAGGAGAAACTGGCGCACCAAAGGTTCTGAGGGAGCCCCTGCTATTTTTCTTTTTTTAAAAAAAATATTAGTGAAACACCATGAGGTACAGTTGTAGACTTACAAATTTTTGTGCTTGGGTTTCAGTTATACAATGATCGAGTACCCATCCCTCCACCAGTGCCCATTCTCCACCACCAATGATCCCAGTATCCCTCCCACCCCCCAACCCCCCATCCCACCCTGCCTCTGTGGCAGGGCATTCCCTTTTGTTCTCTCTTTCCTTTTGGGGAGCCCCTGCTGTTTCAAGGGGACAGCAGTAGGTGGTACTGGCAGCACAGCAGGAAGGAGTGGGAGCAGAGACATGAAAAGGAGTCAGGGACAGCATGTGGGCCTTATTCTACTCTCACGATTTTTGTATTTGAAATAGTTTCAAAATAAATTATAAAATGCCTAGCTGGGCATTCATCTTACAGATCCCAGAATGTGATTCAAGGAATTTGGTAAAAGGCAACATTGAAAACTAGAACAAAATTGCTCGGGTATGGAAAACTCATTATGCTGTGTGAACACAGAAGCAGATGAAACCAGAGCCTAACTGCACAGACTCAGACATAAAGACTGCAGCTTCCAAAGTCAGAGATCAGAGCAAAGTGGTGAAGGTCAAACACCTTCATATATGAAAGAGTCAAAGGACAACCCAGACAATCCAGGATCAGTGAAAATAAAACAAATGACGAAGTCATGAAACATGTACAAAGAGGCACCCAGAATGCAAGACACTCAGGGTAAAGAAGCACACGGTCAGCGGCACAAGGTGCAGGAGGTACAAGGTAGAGGTACTGGGTATTGGATACAGAAGATACTGACTATAGGGGAACTGGGTACAAAAGGTACTGTGTGTAGGAGGTTATAGGAGGTACTTGGTGCAGGAAAGACTGGGTGGAGGAGGTTAGGTGGAGGAGGAACTGGATACAGGAGGTAATAAATGCAGGAGGTACTGAGTACAGGGGATACTGGGTGCAGGAGGTATTTGGTATACGATATGCTGGGCATAAGAGGTACAGAATGTGGGAGGTAGTGAGTTTTGGATAGAAGAAGTACTGGGGGCAGGAGGTGCTAGGTATAGGAGGTATTGATTATTAGATAAAGGAGGTACTGAGCGCAGGAGGTACGAAGTGTAGGAGGTACTGGGTACAGGACGTACTGGGTTCAGAAGGCACTGGGTGCAGGAAACCGGGATGCTGTAAGTTGGGGCGCAGAAGACGCGGGTGCAGGAGGCATTGGATGCAGGAAGCATGGGGCACAGGTGGCACAGATATTCCTCCACAATCAGTCAATGCTTATCTGGTGGGCCCTCTGACCCCCAAGAATCCCAGCACCAAGGACAATGTCTGTGGGACATCCAACCTGCAGTTGGCAGTGTCCGGGACATGAATGAGCACCTTCTTGCACTGCCTTCTTATCCCTGCAACTATATCTGAAAGCATGTGGGCATGGGCCGGCTGGCCTAAGACAGGGGCATATACAGGGGGAGATTCCACGGGTGCAGGTGCATGGAACAGAGGATATGATTATCACAGGGTTCTTGATGAAAGTAGGTGCTGTCAAGCACTAGAAACCAGGAGTACTCCTCAAAGTGCCCAGGAAGAATCCCAGGGGCTGCTGGGATAGTGGCCAAGGTGACAGTCAGGTCTCTGGAGAACAGCCTTCCTGCTAGAGTCAAACCAACTATTCAAGAAGAGGAATCAAGATGCAAGCTGCCACAGAGTTGGGAATGGGTGACCTCCCCCATCTTCCTGTTCTTCAAGGAGTCTGGTAGTCATGCCCACGAACTGCCTCTGGTACCATTTAAGTTCATTAACGACCATGATATAAAAACTCACAAATAAATCTTGGAAGTGAGCAACAAGCTGCAGAGATGCCTTCAGACCCCAAAATCACCATCTAATTAAAAATTTAACTTCAGCTTTATCAACCTATTTAAAATTTTAGAATTCCTGGAACACACAGCTGCATCTGTGGCCATGCCACATCTCATATTCTACACCACCGATGTACCAAGAGTACGCGCACCACATTTGATGGGGTGCAATGTAGAAGACAACCGATCTCAATAAAAAAATAATGATTAGCACACGAGGTTCAACCTGTAACAAAATGTTAGTACCTCTTATACAAGGTTTAAAGGCTCCAGAGTGAGATAAAACAATCTTCATACACTTTCCTCTAAGGAAACATTTTTGGATCATTTTTAGCAGATTATTCATAACAAGTAATATAAAATAAGTTATTTAGGACCTGCTTTGGGGGCAGGCTTGGGTGGTGGTGGGAAAATTTGAAAGAATGATGGTGGGAAAGTGTAATGATGGTGGGATTGGTGTTGGAATATTGAATGTGATAAATTATTGTGAACAATCTTATAAAAATTAAATTTAAAAAAAGATGTGTGCTGCAAGCAGCTGAGAGGGGACAGGAGCTGGGGGACAAGGAAAAGTAAGCATCTGTTCCTGTCTGTGGTGGGCATAAGTCGGAGGAACAGGGAACGTGCCCATGAGGAGAGAGTACTCGGGCCAGCTGCAGCCACAATGACCACGGAAGCCCCCACACTGGGAAGCAGCTTTGTTCGGGAGCACAAGTATTTTGCTTGGGATGGCTGCAGGGTTTTCCCTGGTGACTCAATCCCCACCAGACTGACATCTGGGAAGTTCTGACAGTTTTCACAGATGCAGTGGAACCCTGGAATACCACCCTGGAATTGTCCTTTCACATTGGATTACAACAGACTTAACACTCAAGAATGAGATGGCTCCCTGGCTCCCAACTTACCCATGCGTCCATCCTGAGGGGGGCTGATGAGCGAGATCCTGGCAGGGCCCATGGTTAGCTCTGGCTGGAGTGTGAAGAGAAAGGAGTTAACAGTGCAGGCCTGCCCCTCTGCCTAAGCCCCGCAGGCACCTCATGCTGGCAGCAGCTCAACCCACATACAGCCGCCCTCTGTCTATGGGCTGGGACCCCATGGTGCTGGAATATTGAGCTTCTCGGCTACTGCACTTGTTTCCACCCCACCTGCACAGACACAGAGGCTGATGGGAAGTTTGCAGAACACATGAGCCCCCAAGGTAGGTTCCAGCACATTCTAGCAGTGAGCAGCCAGCACATCAGTTTCTCTGGCCTCACAGAACCCCTGGGGCTCACATAGTAGGGGCTCCCTCTGGTGGGTGGGGTATGCATTCCTGGCAGGAAAGGGGTGCTGTGAGCTCTCTCCTGGACATGTTCCATCTAGAGGCACTGAGATGTAGGAAAAGCCTCTCCTCCAAGCCAAGCATGCCACTTCTGACCATGGAAAGCACTTCCTGAGGGATAGACCAGGTCTCAGTGCAGCAGGTGCCCCAAGCAGGTACACTACAGGGCAAGTACACGGCCATGCTGTCCTTTAGGGAACTTGAAACAGTGCTGCAAGCCATCACCTCCAAACCACAGGTGTGTGCACAGGCCACTACTAACAAGGGTGCATCCACCCAGAAACCTCCCCATCTCCCCCCATCCCCCACCACAGCCCACCTACCCACACTGATACCCCCTCAACTGCCATCTGGCCAAACCCGAGGCTAAGACCCTTCTGTCTGCACCACACAGTACAGTACCAGAGACCCTCCAATCCACACAGCCTCTGGTTCTGCTTCTCTCTGACCCAGAGCTACCACCTCTGCTCTCTAGCATACCCAGAGTTTAGACCCTGTGGAGGCACTTGTCCACACAACGGGAGCAGTGCTACAAGGCTGCATGGATGGCGGGAGCAACAGAAAAGGCAGGGTCAGTTACAGCCTGGGTGTTGCTCCTGCTGAGCAGGTCCTGGTCTCCTGACTGTCATCCAAGTGACTGCCTTCCCCAAGCATGCAACTTGGGCTGCCATCTTCGGCCACACTGGTAGCTTGGAGATGGCCACAGGTGCCAAGGTGGCAGATAGATGCTCACCTTTCTCATCGGGGAAGGCGTGAGGTCCACATCCATGCACTCGGCTCTATGATAAACAAAGAGTTTTGGCTTTGCCTGGGCACACACAGCAACTATGAGAAATCCTTGTATATGTTTAAACCTTTGGGTTAATGGGCTGGACAAAGCCAAGCAAATCACAGGGCCCTCTAAACTCACTGGGCTCCAGAGTCACAAACAGCACTGGCTTCTTTGCCGTGACAAAGCCATCCGTAAGGGCACCAGAGCTCAGAGCCTATTCTCCAGGTCCCTCCTCCCTGTGTTCTCCAGAACCCCTGGTGAGCAGGGAGACAGTGGTGGACGGCACAGTGAGCAGGGACACCGAGCAGGGAGACCATGTGCTCTCTGCAACACAGCTGGCCCCCACACATTCTCAGCTGGAAATGTTACTTTTGAATTGAACAAGTGGGTTGATAGGGACCCACCATTTATGCATCTCCACAAAGAAAAACGGTGAAGTGTGGCAGAAAGAGTCCCCCGAACAGGGACTTACTGACCTAGGCAGAGTGATGGATGCACAGAGGTACTGGGCAGGCTGACAAGCTGCTCAGGCCACCCACTGACTCAAGCTACTGGGCTGCAAACAACTCAGCTTCCACCAAGTCAGGGCAATGGTGGTGGAAGAAACAGTGCCATCATCTCAGGGGAATGTAGCGGAGGCAACTTGGCTCCATCTTCTCAGAGAAAGGAGGGAAGGTTAAGCTCCATCATCTCAGGGAAAAGGTAGAGATTCTACCTATCATCTCTGGGGGGAGGTGTGAGTGGGGGAATTTCAGTTTTATCATCTTAGGAAACAGGTCATGAAGAATCAGGATCATCTTCTGTCAGTCTGAGGCTCAAGTCCCCAGGGCTCAGGCTTCTACCTCCTTTTCCTTCATGGGTACTTTCAAACCAGTCACCTCTGACAGAGTTGCCGTAAAGACTCCTTGGGGTCTTGCTACTGTGAGGGCTCTTGTACTGGCTAGGAGACCACCAGAACCAATGACTCTGTCCAAGGCCATAGCCTATTCCTGATACCAGCTTGGTATGAGGAATACTGTGGCCACAGGGAAGTGTGAGGGGCAGTTCCTGATGCTGTGCTGACTGCTTATCAGTACCTGCTATCACAGGTACCTGGAGGGTGTGGGGAGAGAACCACCTCTAGGGTAGAACTCCTGAGCAACCAGCTCAGAGCACATACCTGTTGGCCACTGATGAGTCCGGAGCCAAGAGCAGACGACCATCTAAGTTAGCTGAAGGAGCTGTGACAGAGTTCTGGGTCAGACATGTGGGGCTTGTGCTAAGACTCACCTCCCACCCATTTTATCCCTTTGCACTTACTCAAAATGGCATGTCTTTCTGTCCTGATAGGGGTTTGCTGGGATGACCTCGTGCTGAATGATGGAGAAAAGGAACAAGTTCCCACCAACACAGCTGTCTTACTCTACTGTCTTCACTCAGAGTTCTGTCCACATGTGCCCACACTCCAGACCTGAAGGTTTCTCCCCACTAAGAACTGACCAGAAGCAACACTGTCCCATAACAATGCTGTTAGTGCTGACTACCAAGTGACCATACAGACCTTGGACTCATGAAGGACACCGAGGGTTGCAGGCCCACACATGGACATACGGCACGTTCACAAAGGCACCCCAGTCCCCACCATCACCTAGTGCCCTGAAGATCACTTACCTAAGTCCTCCCAATCTCCATGGACTTCCCTACTGCAGATATGTGTTGGCAGAAGTCTCTAGGAAGTGGCTGTTCTCTTCCTTCTGCTGCCTGGGTCCACCAAGCATCCTTCTACTTGACCCTGAGCTGACGGACCCTCCCCTGGAATCTGAGGGGCTGCACTCACCTCTGTAGTTGTGTCTGCAGCACTGGCCTCCTCAGCGAGTCTTCCAACGTGGAGATCTAAACACAGCCCATGGCTTTCAAATCACCAGACTGAACCTGAGGGCAGCCATGCTTACCTGGACCTGACACCCAGTTCAGATGGGAAGCTTTTCTGAACGCGTCTCAAGTTCTGGCCCTGGATTCAGGAACCAGTCCAGTGCATAGGTCTCTTCTGGGGTGTTGAGATGACTGGTTTCTACCTGCTGCACTCATTGTAGCACCACTGCCCCACCCAATAGAGGTAACCTCAAGTTACTGGTGGTCTGCAGGTCCAAAGACCATGGTCCTGTTCACATGGCCACTGCAAACCTCAAGCTAGCTGCCCTCATTGGCAGAATCTCAGCAGGCCTCTATAGCACATAGTCAATCCTCAGTACCCTCTGGGTGAGCATATAAGGTTACCAAACCAGGTTATGGTCAGCTCAGCACAGGGCTAGGAGCCAGTGAGCAGGAACAAGAGGAGGCCAGGTCGTTATGTGTTCCCTATGCTCAGCACCCAGCCAGGGTAAGGTAGCACCATGGTCACCACCTCCTATATGCACAGAGAGAAGTAGCAGGTGAGAAGTCACCAGTGTCCAAACTTGAGGAGCCACAGGGTTTTGTGGCCTCAAAGTCTGGGTCCTGTCCTAACTATCTAACCTTTAAAGGGGAAAACACCTTTCATTCACAAAGACAAGACAGTTGGCAAAGGTTCATCTAAGTTGTCCATGGGTTCCAAGGATGGTGTGTCCCACCTCACAGGGCTGGATGCCCTTGCCATGTACCTTCTTGACCTTCACCCTCCCCATACCCACCTATCCACACACACAACCCTGCCTCACCTCACCTCATCTCTGGCGTCCACACTATCCTCTACCTCCATTCCCAGGGGGAGGTGAAACTGTTTGGAACTTTCTCTCTGAAGCTGTTCCATCCACTTTAGAGTTAGAATCAGGAAGGCTTACAGTTTTCCCCATCTGGGTACCTGAAGCCCAAGAAGCAGGTGCTTAACCTTTAGTTAGGGCCAGGAGCCTGAGGCAGCTCAGGAAACTTACCTTCTCTTGATAGAAGGTCAACAGTCTCTTCCGGTGTCTTTCTTGAAACTCAGAAATCTGAAAGAATGTCAGCTGCTTGCAGCCCCACAGTGGTCAAGGATACGAAGAGTGCTAAGTGTGGCCACAATGCCCTGCACCACATGAGAGTGCCCACTGGCCTTCTGGGTAGGGCTGCGCTGTACACTCAAGTGAGGCACAGGAGGGAGTGTTACTGCAGTCCTGGAAGAACAGCGAGAGGACTAGGCTCCTTTCCCTTCCCATGGATCCACAGTGAGACATGTCATAGGATGCCTCCTGACCCTGCAGTGCCAGCTGGAGTTTCCCTGCCCACTGAGGTCAGCGGGGTTGGGGAGTGCCAGAGTGAAGGCTGAGTCCACTGGAAGCAGACACCATATCCACTGTCATCCTGTTGGCCCCATGCTCATGTTGGTGAGGATAAACTGCAATGGTACCAAGAGTCAAGACAAGTTTGAGAACTGCAGGCTCAGGAGGAAGCTGCTCCCCCAGGAGAGGCTAGCTGGTACATGGAACAGCAGAGTTGAGGCCTCAGTGCATCGACCAGCACAAGAGGAGGGAAAGAGAACTACAGCCCCCTCACTGGTCAGGACACTGGGTCCAACAGCCAGGTCAGCCCTCCTACCACAGATGCACGTCAGACAAGGAGGATGAGCAGGACTTCCTCTTAAATCCAAGTAACCAGCACGGCCCTACTCTCCCACTAGCCTGCAGACTGTGAGACCTCTTCAGAACAGGGCTGGGCCCACCATGCTGAAGGCCACATCCCAGGTTGCTGCTGGCAATATCTTTGTCCAAAAGCTCTTGGCAATGCCTCAGAGCAACACAGCAACCATAGTCAAGTACCCCAAACTTGAGGCACATCCCCTGTCCTCCCTGCTGGCAGGAGCAGTGTCCCACCACCACCCTTGACTCCCTCTGCTTCTCTACTCTGCACAGCTGGGTGGCTGGATGTCAGGCTCCAGGGAGAGGCTGGGCCAGTGCAGCTGCTGGTTCAGGTGGAGGAGAAAGGAAGTTCAGATGCCTCTTAGCCTGGGACAAGGTCACATGGTCTGGCTGCTTCCTCAGCATACCTGCAGTTGCCTACAACTCTCTGTCTTCTCTTTCTCTCATTTCCCTGACAGATGTAGGGTCCAGAGCTATAGGAAGGGGTGAGGCCAGTGCTAACATCTGAGAGGCCCTTTGTGGTTAGCTAGGTGCTGCATAGTTCCTCACATGTGCTCCAGGCTCAACGAGGCCAAGCTGAGGAAAATGACAGGCATGCTCTGCAGTAATTTCTAGATGCTTCTATATCATCCTTTAAGGGAACAAGATCTGTGTACTGCTCTGATTATGAGTTAGAAAGTGTGGAAGGAGCAAGCCCTAGGCATCAGCAAACAAACCCCCCAGATGGTGGGGCCTGCTGAGCCTCCAGAAGGTTCAGGTCATCTGGAACCCCGATCTGCACACCACTACCCACAGGGTGCCAGGGGCTGAATTACCACATGAGGGGTGCAAAAGCCAAGAGGCCTTGACCTGAAAAAAATGTGACTCTGGGTGACAAATCCCATGGCAACAGAGCTTAGAGTAGAGCCAGAGCAGAGGCCAAAAAGCCACTGCATAAGTCATTTCTGTATCCTCTGAACAGCAGCGGAATCCTAGCTTGGAGCACATCCAGCCGTGGAAGTCTGGGCCAAGGGGCTGGGAACGGCTGCCATGGAGACACTTGGGTTTATCCTGCCTGCATGTCCTGGGAGGGGTCCAGGATGTCAGGATCAGGGTGATGATTCACTGATGTTGGGCTTAGGACCTGGCATCCATGCTCCTTTCGACTCTCTGCTCATTTGCCTTGTACGCAGGACACAAGGCTCTGATCTATAGATTTTTCTATAGTGTTCATCCTATTAGAAGCTAATACTGAAGGATACTTGAAGACCCCAATCCACAGTTTATTAACCTGCTCACAAATAACATAATACACCCGATATGCAAACATAAATGGGCATATGCTCTTGTGTGCTTCAGCAAAGCTCTATCTTGCACTCTAAGATCACGTGCCTGCAACGTGGAGTTACTCACTGAGCTCCTGACCCTCCAGTCCTCTCCATGGCTCTCAGGACACATGATCTGAGAGAGCAGAGCGCCTACTTCTCCAGAGACCCACAAAATTGCTAGTCCTTGAGACTCTACACTGGGAAGTGGTGGTGGGAGGCACTGCGATTCTGGATGTTATAGGATGGGGGTGCTACAAGAGGACCTCCAGGGAGCAGGGGTCACACATGGGAAGTCTGTGACTATGATCCCATGACCCTGGACCTAGGCCAGGACAGCATTCAGGGGCAGATTAATGAGGTCTCAAGGGTGAGTGCAGAGCTGCCACCTAAAAATACTAGGCCTGAAGGGCTGCTGGTGAGTCGTGGACAGGGTCTGCTGATCCGGAGAAAGGCCTCAGTCCAGTCAGCTTTTAGTAACCCCAGGACACTCTTCCCTGGAGCAGAGGAAGGGTACTCAGCTAGCAAAGGAGACAGCCAGGCCCAGCTTCCCACTCTCCTTCCCATGCTCTCCGGATGGACTGGAACCACAGGTTGCCTAGAGATGTTCAGGGAAGTCAAACACGTAGGCAGCATCTTTTGGAGGCATGTAGCAGGAAGAGCTGCACCAGACGTCAAATACTGCCAGGAGGAAAGGGCAGAGCCACCAAGCAGTCGTGACCTGAGTGTAGCAGCCCCCCATCCAGCTCCCACAGTCGTGTCCACGGTCTGACCTCAAATAGAAGCACACCCCTAGATGAACTGGCCCTGCAACAATCTGACAGCAGAGAAGAACTGACCCAGAGTGGCCACAGAGTGAAGTGCCGCATACCTGGGTCAGCTACCTGGTGTCCCCCGCTCACCTGAGAGGTATCTCTGGAGTACCTGCTGCACAGCCCGTCTATGCGCATAAACAAAGCCTGGATGTCCCAGTCCGTCTGCAAGAGGCAGGTGGGGAGGGGTCACAGCTGCTGCCCCCACTGTGCTGCTGCACCCTATGACCTGGGCTTTCAGAAGAAACCACACACAGCACAGTAGGAGCTAGGCCACCCCCTTCCTCCCAGTAGGCAGTGAAGGCCCTTCAACCCAATGAGGCAGAGGTTTGGTTTTTTTTTTGTTTTTTGGGTTTTTTTTTGTTTTATTTTTTTACTTTTTGGGTCACACCCAGTGATGCTCAGGAGTTACTCCTGGCTTTGCACTCAGAAATTCCTCCTGGCGGTGATCGGGGGACCATATGGGATGCTGGGGATTGAACCTGGCAAGGCAAACACCCTACCCACTATACTATTACTCTGGCCCCAAGGCAGAGGTTTGCACACGGAGAAAGTCCCAGGGCAGCAACAGCAGGAAGGATAAGTGCTGGCACAAAACGGCATGAGCTTGGTGCTGGTCAATGGAGAGAACAGAGGGCAACTCAGCTCCTTCAGAAAAAACACCCTTCAGTGCCCCTGCCCAAATCTACTTTCTTTAAGCCAGGAGAAAGCACACACCACTGACATCTGAGGTTACCCCCAGTCCACCCCCCAGATCCTTCCAGGGCCCCTGAAAGAGGAAGCAGTACTGGAGGGTGTAGCCAGAGGGAATCCTGACACAAAGCTGCAGAACTCCAGACCCCATGAAACCTGCCTCCAACAGGCAACTGAGGAGGGATCCCAGGAACTCTGAAGAGACAAAGGAGGAAAACACAGGACAGGACACACCTGGTCAGTGGCAGTGGGTGGGACAAGTGGTCTGCTGGGGGTGTCTATGATGGGGGACACACATTCTCTACAGGGACTATAGTCAGTGAAGTGGGAATAAAGAACATGGTCTGAGCAGAGGAAAATGCAGGGAACCTACTGGTGTTTGGGACACAGAGTTGGGATGAGATAGGGTGAGGGGAGTGCTTCTGGCAGGGCCAGGAGACCCAGCAGAGCAGGTGCACCCTGGGCACTCCACTTGTTTCTGACCCAAGTGTTGCTGCTCTGAGGTTGTGTACATGACTCTAAGACAGACGCGCATGACAACAAAATAATTGCCCAGCACTGTCAATCCGTGCCATATTCCCAGACACTGATCACAGAAGCTCTCTTTCTGGAAGACAGCAGACACGTACAGAGGTGGTAGCCAGGTAGAGTTTTCTGAGCTCTGTGCTCAGATGGGGTGAGGGAAACAGCTGCCCACCTGCACTGGAACCCCCTGCACAAGATGAGGAACGAAAAGGGGCCCCATATCAAAAACCATGGCTGATTTTGGGACAACAGTGAAAGTGGCACTTTGGCCACAACAAGATGGCACTGCCTACCTACAATGGAAGATGCCTCTCAGAACTCAGGAACCTGTGGGATAGCAGAGCACCCCATCTGAAAACACAAATGAAGTGCAAATTCCTCAGCATACAATGTCCTACTGACTAAGTAGAGCTAGGAACTCAAGAGGCCCAGCAGGATGAAGAGATAAGAAATCCCAAGGTCCAAACATCCCCATAGAGACAAGAGCGTGGACAGCATCCCTCCCAAATCAGTGACACTGACAAACATATCCAATGTCACACAAAAAGAAAAATAACCCAGCAGAGGGAAGGAGCAATAGAACAACAGCAGGCTGGGCACTTGTGGCCTAACATTTCTCATGTGTGGCCAACCTGGGTTTGATCCCCAGCATCCCATATGGTCCCCTGAGCCCAATAGAACTGATTCCTTCCTGAGTGCAGGGTCCTAAGTAAGCCCTAAGCACTACCAGGTATGGCCTCAAGAAAAAAACAAAAACCAGCACAAGAACACAAAGTTAGCAATTTCTGACCCTGTGAAGCAGGGGTGGGGTCCTATTTCCCAGGATGTAAGGGGTCTCAGAAGGGAAAGGACCAGGATAGCACTGAGCACTGTCACCATCGAGAGCTGTGGTTGGCCACAGGTGCAAGTAGCCATGCTGACGCAGAGAAGCCAAACAAATCTCAGTGGTTACAGAAACACTGTCTGGTAAAGCTCAGAAGCACACACAGTACTTCATGGAGACATGACAAGGGCAACCTCAAGTCATCAGAAACAGAGGCCCTGCCTGAGCCTCACAGGATGAAATGGACTGTGCCCACCCAGTGAGGAGCTGTGCAGAGGAGCACAGTAGCAAGGAAAGGAGGAGTCAATAGGAGAGCACCCATGGGGGATCCCATTAACTGGCTTTCTGGGGCCCGTGTAAATGAAGCAGCTTCCCACAAGCTGTGCACACATGAGGAATGGAAGCAGGAGGATGGTATACGGAGTACCCCAGGCTTCTGAGCAGGTATGCTCCCAAGAAGGCAGAGTGGAAGGAGGGCAGTCCCCCGCCATCAGAGTGTTCTGCAAAGGAGGCAGATGAGGAGACAGAATCTTGCTGTATGGCAATGTCAAGTTGGGCCCATCCCATCCCCGCAAAGCACCCTAAAGGCCCTCACTGGGCCTACATTAGGGATCAGGTAGGGGCCACATAATATGCCACCTCAGAACTATGCCTCCACTCTGGGACCCCTGTACACAGCACCAGGAACAAGGGAAAACCCAACAGGGAGAAGCACACCAGAAGTGCAGCTCTAGGGCACCTCAGCAATCACCTCCAGTCTCCTGCTTTTGGCCCTCCTGCTGGGGTTCTTCCTGGTCAAAGCTCCCCAAAGACCCCCTGCAGGGGGTAGTGTATGATATATGTGTTGAGCTCATGAAAAAGTCTAAGCCTAGAAACCTCCAAACCCCCCCACCCTGTCTCAGCCCATCCTTCCACCTCCTGGTCTGCATCTTGCCAGAGCCACCACCAGCATTCCTTGGAGGAAATGACCGCCAGATCTGAAGGTCAAGTGTCCTTTCCCATGGCACTGGGCAACCTTCATTGCCAGAGCCTCTTGCTCAGAGAGGTGGAGAGTCCATAGTGCTGTCAAGGAGGGCGCTGCTCTGACAAATATCACATCCCAAGTGCACTCAGATGCACAGATGCATATAGGCACAAGCACACACAGACAAGTAGAGACACGATCATACAGACGTGCAAACATGTGCATACATATGCAGACACAAAGACATGTATGGAACACATGTGCACACACAGATCTGGCATGCACACAAATACAAAGAGACCAAGGAAAGCTCAAGAAGCAGCATCCAGACCAGAAAGTACTGGGAACTGGAGACTTCAATCTGGTTGCTGGGAGTTTTCCCAGAGGGGTCCAGAGGTGGAGTACAACACTTGCTAAGAGGGCAGCCCTGGGGACACAAGGAACTTATCACTCAGAGGAGCATGAAAAAGGAGGCAGACATTGGCATTCTCCCAAACTCACAGAGCACCCCAAGTTCCCTGCACTCCCACAAAACACCTCCCCACACAGGCTCTCCCTTGGAATGCCCCTCCCCCACTGCCCACAAAATGCCCCAGGATGCAGATCTCCTCAAAGCCACCAATGCACAATGTAACTGTATGACCTTTCCAGGAACTATTAGTCACAAAGAAACACTGATAGTTTAGAAAGAAATTCCAGATCTCAATCACAAGTAAACCTCTGTCCTTGGGTCCACCATGAAGAGAAATCCAACCTCCTATAAACATAAGATGACTCTTCCAGAGTTTAAACAGTGGTGAGACAGGAGTTGCGCCTGATGAGGGACCAGGTTGAAAGGCAATTCCTCTGTGACAAGACCAGAGGTGGGTTGGGCACTCATACCAAGAGAGAAGCGAGAGAAAAGCAGGGCCTCCAGAGTTCGGGGCGGGCTGCAAGTGAAAAGGTTCCCATAGCTTTACCTTCCAAGTGTTCTATTCCTGGCACCACATGACCCACTGAGCATGGAGCCAGATGTAGTCAACAAGCACTACCAGGTGTGGCCCAAAAACCAAACAAAAGACCCAGTTCCCATGGGCAGCTACTTGGAGAAAAGCCCAGTACGCTCTCGGAAGATGCGTAGGAAGATGCACAGAGTGTCCTGCCTGGGGAACATGTGAGTGGGAGAGTGCAACAGGCACAGCAGGGCCCACACGAGGAAGTGAAGGTGTCTCATACACACTCCAGGAAGCTGGGTCTGACTAAATGTTCACGGGATCTCTCATCTTTGAATTTCGTGGAACAGCCCTTGGGATAGAACCTCCACCAAAGACCGAAAACCCAGAGCAGGCACATTCATCCTGTGTCTGATATAGCAGAAGGGTCACCCACACACTGGTTGGCCCAGGGACTCAGCCATGGGCTCACGACGCCTGCTGCCTTGCACACAGCATGGGGGCAAAAGGGCAACAGGGCCGGCCAGACTGAGGAACCACAGTGGTTCCCAGGAACTTGACACAGCAGACTACAGTTGTACCAGGGTCTAGAATTACTGGATTACTCTGGAATCTTGTGAGATCTCCTGGCTCATCATCAAATGAAGGAAGATTTTAGACTACACGAGTAAAACTTAATTTCAAGGGAAACACACAATTCCTATTCGGATTGTACAGACTTAACTTACATGTTTTGAAAGTGAAAGTGCACGACAAGGAACTTTACAAATCAGGCATTCATCCTTTCTACCTATAAAAAGAACAATGAGTTTACTAAGGTCGGTGCATTGTGCACGGGAATGACAAACCCCAGTTGGCAGTGCCTCTCAAACGTTATCTGGCCAATAGGCAGACCCGGAAACCATCCTGGGAAAATCAGCCCAACCACCCACCTGTGCCCCACAGTTACCCTGGCAATCGCCAACCACCAGCATCTTTAGCCCCACTATATTCTTAGAGACCCCGAGGGCAGGCAGAACCAAGAGGGACTACGACTCACAGTCATGTATGTGCTTCTCCAGATGACACTGCCTCCCGAGTCAAGGGTCCCACCACAATACCAGGACGGCTGCTCAGGGCCGCTGTTGACAAGGGGACCCGAAGCACAGGCCCGACCTGGGTCCCTCCCCTCCTCAGGGCTGGGTGGGAGGCATCAGGATACCGGTCCTGGGCAGCTCTGGTTCAGACGCCCCTCCCCCGCCCACCCCCCCCCCCCCCACACACACACACAGCCCTCTTCCAGTTCTGATCATACCGTGAGGAGAGGCCTCTGCACTGCTGGGAGGCTGGGAGCGGCCCCTCACCTCACCCTGCCCGCGGCCCAGGCACGCCTGGTCCTCCTGCCGTGGCCGCCACCTACACCGCGCTCGCGTCGCCCCTGCAGGGCAAGGCGGCCTCCACAGGGTCCCGGGCCTCGTGCTGGGTTAAGCGCCACAGGAGTGGGGCACTAGTGGGGCACAGATCCCCCCAATCTCGCACGACCCCGTGCTGCTCTCTGAAGGCTGGTGAGGCCGCGGGCGACGGGGACCTGTGGGGAGCCTGAGGGGTGGCACCCCAGAAGCGCCGCCGCTCAGTGTCCAACAAGCCACGGAAGAGCCCACTTGCCGTGGCCAGGCAGGGTGCGGGCCGGACGCCTCTCGCCCAGCAGCCACCGCTCCGGCCCCTCAGGGACAGACTCTCGCCTGCCTCCACACCCGCTCGGCGGCCTGCCCACCAGAAGCCCGCGCCCACCCCCACCTCGGCCCCTTGGGACCCTCTCTGAGGCGCGCTCCACCTCCCCCACCTCAGGCCAGCAGGCGCCGCCCCACCTTTGCGCAGACACACGTCGCAGTACACGTGCCCACAACTGGTCAAGCTGAAACACGAGGTCCTGTGGGGCTGCTGGAAGCAGTAGTTACAGAAGATCCAAGTGGCCATGACGGAGGCTGCCCGCTGCGCCACCCGGACGGTCCCCGACCCTCAGCGACTCCCTGACACCTGCGCACGCGGTCGGCTCTGCGCCCGCGCGGTGTCGCGCCTGCACACGAGGCTGGCACTGGCGGCCGGCTCTGCGCCTGCGCAGTATTGCACCCGCGCACGTGGCCATCTGCACCTGCGTAGTGTCAAGCCTGCGCCGTGTTGCGGCTGCTCACGAGGTTTGCGCTGGCGGTTGTCTTGGTGCCTGCTCCGTGTCACGCATGTGTACATGGTAGGCCCTGCACCTGCACGCCAGGAACCTAGCCCACCGAAACCTGTGCTGCTAGCGACTGCCTGGGACCCCTGCATTGAAAATACGGGCTTGTGGGCAGTGCAGGGAGAGGAACAAGCCTCCGAGGGGCCGTCAGAGAGACTGTGGCTAGCGTGAGTGACCCCAGGAGAGTTGATATGCACAGGCCTGGTCAACCAGGGTCCGGAGAGAACGCACCAGTGACCCTTTCTGCAGATGTGGGGGATGTGGGGCACTTGGAGGTAGGGAACCAAGGGCCATGATCTCAGCACGGAGTGGCCTGGAGGAAGGAGTGCACATACAGGAAAGCCAGTGACAGGGAGGAGGGGACATGTACGAGAGCCTCAGGTGGGCCAGAACAGGGAGGCGGTGTTCAGGAAGACCAGGAGCACAGGAGAAGACCTCTAGGCTCCTGGGAACCGTGCTGCCTGGCACGGCCACTGCGCATTGGTGTGTGGTGGGTGCAGGCTACCCAGGGAGGCCAGGTCCTGTAGCGCCCACGCTGTGCTGACACCAACGAGAATAGGGGCTGACCAGGTGGGCACCCAGTCAGAAAAGCTGCCTGGAAAAGCTTGTGGGGAGACCAGCTGCCATCCGCCCCCGGAGACAGGAAGGCTGAGTGGGCTGATAGGGACAGCGAGCATGGCCTTGGCCCCAGAGCACTGTGCTCTGGTCCAGCTGAGATGGTTTTGAGAGCAGAACACACCTGGTCTGCAATAGAACATATTAGAAAGGAGCGCACATGCCTCTGTTAATCAGTTGCTACATAGGCTGGAAGATAGCTCATGAGGTGGAGTGCCTAGCATGTGTGCAGTCAAGTGCTCACTCTGGCCATAGTGCTAGCCTCCCAGTCCAGCCTCCCAGCCCAGCTCTGCCAAGTTGCCCTGGTAGCTTCCATGCATTCGGTGAGGTGAGCCCTGACCCATCAGAAACGTACCTTTGGGTGCCAGGAGTGGCCCTTGTGAAGAGCCTTCTAAGCTAATCACACCCTGAATGGTGATATCTAAGGGTTAGCTATGTCCAGAGCAGTGTCATAACCCACAGTGTCATTGGTAACATGAACTCTTTCCAAACATTAAGACCTTCACCTTTTTACCTCTCTGGTCCTAGGGACCCAACCCAGGGCCTCGAATATCCAAAACCTGTCCTCTAGCACTGAGTCATCTGATCACAAGAAAGCTGTCAGTGTGGTAGTCAGGAAACCTCAGTTTTTCATATATAACTAACCTTTTATCTATTGGATTCTGCTGATACAGCCCAGCGCTGAAATATTAATTGTAATATCTAGTCCATGCAGTTCAGAAGCTGCATTGTCACAGGAACATTTTACCGGTGCTTTAAGGCCATTGGATTAATTTAACAACCATGAAGATACCTAATTACAAATGTGTTTTGAGACACTCAAATGTAGCAGGTAGTTATTTGTCTTTATTAATACCTTAAACAAGCTTCTTAGCTATAAAAAAATCTTTCAGGTGCTTCATTTGAAAAATTCCAACTGTGATAAAGATCAGCATTTGCGCAAAAGCCCACCATAGGACGTTGCTGTTTGTGTCTTCACTGGTCATCCGGAATCTTTCCTCACGGTCCTGTGCCAAAGACAAGGCTGAGTGGGCCACAGAGCTCAGCCCCCAGCTCAGGGCTGCAGCAAGTGCGTGTGTGCTGCGAAGGAGAGGGACCACAGGACGGCAGTTTGGGTTTTCTGAAGGGGTAGCCAGCCAAAGCCATGGCACAGTGGCCCCTTGGAAATGCGTGCTTTTGAGGTCAGAGACCAGTGCCTTGATCCTGGTGTGTTTTAGTTGTCACTGCCACAAGCACATTGCCTGATAAGAGTGACTAGACATTGGCGTGGTGCCTAACTCACCTGGCTGAAGCCTCTTCGGGGAGGAGCACCAGCAAAGGTGACAGGCCAGCTCAGGAACAAGCCCACTCAGGGACACGCCAGCCCTGCCTACGAGCAGTGGCCTGTGCGCTCCCTCAGCGGCTCAGTCCATCCCCCAACATAGACCACCGGGGAGTGTGGGGACCTACCCGCTGATAGTTCTGCTCTCTGACTATCTGCTCCATCTCCTCAATCAGGTGTTCCAGCTTGAAGCTGACTTCGTTGACCTTGTCCTTTGCTTGAGCGATGGCTGCATCCAGGTCATGCTCCCCAACGCGGACCTCTAAGTGGACCCGCTGTAAGACAGCATGCAAATAGCACCTCCCCCTCCCTCCCTGCCCTCCCCACTTCCCTCCTTGCCCTCTCCTCCCTTCTCATGCTCCCCTCCCCCTCCCTTCTTACCCTTACCTCATCTCCTCCCTTTCTTACTCTCCCCTACCTTCTCCCCTCCCTTTTTTTTCTGTTTGTTTTGGTTTGGGAGTCAAACCCAGCAGTGCTGAGGGCTTCCTCCTGGCGCTATGTTAGGGATTACTTCTGGAGGGCTTGGGGGACCATTTGGGGTGCCAGGAGAGAACCTGCATTGGCCTCACGCACGGCAGATGCCCTGCCCACTGTGCTATCATTTGGGCCTCCTCCCCGCCTCCTTGCCCACTCCTCCCTCTCCCCTCCTTTCCCTTCATCTGCCCCTGGTCTCACTGCCACACTGGGTCCACACTGGGTTCCATGTTAAGCCCAGCGCTCCCCCTGCTGGTCACCTGCTCGCTCTTTTAGAGGCTACACTTAACTCTTTGGCAAATGCCTCTGGTCCCATACTGTAGCACTGTAGCACTGTCCTCCCATTGTTCATCGACTTGCTCCATTTGCTCCAGCGGGCCCAGTAACGTCTCCATTGTGAGACTTGTAGTTACTGTGTTTGGCACATCTAAGACGTCATGCAGTCCCATGCTATTCTCAGGAAAACTTTCTTACTTGGAACTATGTAGCTGTGTCTGTAGTGTCTGTAGTTTCTAAGCACAAGTCCACTTAGAAACTAGGATGATCTCATTCTGCTGTCAGTGTTATTGATTGGAACTCCATCATTAAGCCCCTCAGCTTCTGCTGCTTTCGAGCCCGAGTGATCACAGGACTTCCCTTGCGCTTGAGCTTTCTGTTCTTCAGCCTGCGCTCAGGCTGCCTGTGAACCCCACCAAGTGCTCGGGCCCTCTGGTCTCTGCGCTAATGTTGATGCCACTGTTGTGTCTCCCAATGGGCAGCACATACTCACCAACTTACTCCCTCCAAACGACACAAGTCTTGTGGAGTTGGATTCTAAGCAAATGATGTGCTCCCCAGGCGAATGGGAAGTGAAGTGGAAAGTTCCTTGTGAGCTGTATAACTTGGACAGTAACACCTAGAGCCAAGGATTGCCATAGTTAAACTTCTTGTTCTCTATTTGCCATTTTGGTTTGGTTTGGGGGCCACAACCAGCGATGCTCAGGAGTTACTCCTGGCTCTGCACTCAGGAATTACTACTGGCAGTGCTCAGAGGACCCTGTGGGATGCTGGGATTAAACTCAGGTCGGCCGTGTGCAAGACAAGTGCCCTACCTGCGGTACTATTACTCAGGCTCCTCTACATGCCATTTTAAAAGATAAATAGCTCCCTCATAATTTAGTAAAATTCAAAAGGAAAAAAAGACAGCCAGTATCTATGAAAAATATTCCCCCTTCCAAGGAATCAAGGAAATCCAAAACATATAATAACCCTTGCTGGTGAACATATTAGTGATGGTTAAAAGAAGCTGAGTGTGTTATGAGGAACACCCTCCACACTGTTGGACTGTGCAACCATTGTTGGTGAATTGTTTTTCATCTAACAGTCCCAAGAGAAAAATGTTTGACCACATACATGAATAGTGGAAAGATATATCAAAAGAGATGCACAAGCAAAGTTACATGTGTAAGTCTCCCCTGGGTTAGAACACACTTGCATTTAGAGGAAGCTTAATGCCTATCTGGGGGCAGAGGGGTGGTAAACTGCTGGGAAAGTCAAAGAGGAGCACCTTGCTTCAGAGCACGAGGCTGTCTCACCACCCATACACCGGAGGGGCCAAAGCACCCTGGCTCTCATGTTCTGTGAATTGCAGCGCCTGAAAGTGGACTCCCGTCACCATTCATTTTAACAGCTAAAGAAGAGATACTGGGGCCAGAGCGATAGTACTGCAGGCGGGGTGTTTACCTTGCACGCAGCTGCTCTGCGTTCAAACCCCAGAACCCCATATGATCCCCTGAGCCCCACCAGGAGCGATCCCTGAGCACAGAGCCAGGAGGATGACCTGAGCACTAAGAGGTGTTTTGAGAGACAGAGGAGTCATGCAGAATTCCTGCATGAGAAAGAACAGTGCGGGCTGTGGGGCAGAAAGGAGAGGAGGAAAGCTGAGTGCTGGAGAGAGAGCTGCTGCAGAGCGAAGAGTGAGGAGAAGGGAAGAAGGGGCACAGCAATCAGGTTGCTGTCCGTAATTTGTTTTTGTGACTGCTGCAGCTGGTGGAGCTGTGCCTAAATGAGCTGTTTAGTGCTAGTGGAGGCTGGAGAGGTAGTATCGCAAGGAGGGAGCTTGCCTTGCACGCTCCTAACCCTGGTTTGATCCTCAGCACCCCATATGGTCTCCTGAGCACCATCAAGAGTGATTCCTGAGTGCAAAGCCAGAAGTAACCCCTGAACATTGCCTAGTGTGACCCAGGGCAAAAATAGACACTAGTTAATAAAAGAGCTGGAACAGAGGACCTAGGGGAATCAGTGTGTACTCTGACTTGCAGTCCACAAGAACCCAGAGCAGGAGGACTGGACTCT